TTCCCTATCAAATTGCCAGAGGTTGATATATGATACATACACACATATGTATGTATGCATGCAAGGATGTATGTATGCATGTATATATGTATACAGGTATTTATTATGTATGCATGTATATATTTATATAAATATTTATACAAATATGCATATGAATTGAAGACCAGATAGACATATAAGTATACATATACATCTATATATATATGTATATATACATACATATCTGTTGTGGGCGTTAAGGATCATTCCTTCATGACGGCTGTAGGGCTCCGCAAGGTGTAGGCTGATGTCATGGATTTACCGTAGGGCTTTGGAAGAGTCGGGTACGGAACATGAGCAGAACCATACACCAAGAACCCTAAGAGCCTAGAAGTCGTAAGGCCTACATGTCATGACCCCATACACGCAAACATTTTCAAAAACAACTACATAAACCCTAATCCGCAGCCCTAGACCATTTCAGGCCTGCTGCCCCATCTACGCAGCTCGTTCCGCTAGCCGGTGGTGCGCTGACTTGCTACGAAGAGGCAAATCGGGAGGTTCGGGCTTTGGGTTCATTGGGTAACATACAGGTTTATAGGATTGTAGAAAAGGTTTTAAGGGGTTTGATCAGGGTTTACAAGCTTTCGGGGCCCCCCTAAACCCGAAACCCTCTTCTCGAAAGTCGAAAAAATATTTTCTTCAAGAACCCTGAGCCTCTTGGGGCCTTCCAAAGCACCCCCCTTAAGGCCTAAGGCCCTTGCAATGCCCCACGACCCCGCAAGGGAACCCTATGTTAAGACCCTGATAAACACCCATAGGAATCTTATGCGATACTAAACATCTCTCAGAAGTCTCGTATATGTCTCATAAAGAGTGCCTTTGGAATTCTGTGGGACCGGCCCTATACCCATGTATAAACATCAGGGTCCATGTATCCATGTGAATATAAGTTGACGCCAAAGTCCTCTTTAGGGTCTACTCTAGGGCCTAATTAAATACTATATGAGTACATGAATATACCTTAGATTATAGTAGGATCCTTTATATGATTTAAGGAACATACCTTAATTAAGGGGTTTTGGAAGATCTGGGTTAGGGTAAAGCCGAACGACGCAGGCCGACGCACCGGCTGTGGTGATGCACTCGGACGGCGGCCGCAGGCCAGAGATGTTTGGGCTGTTTTATAATTCTGTTTAGGTCTTTGGTGTACTTATAAACAGGTTTCTATTTGTTGGTTCCTTTAACCCCTAAGAAACTTCTAAAATTATGATTTTAGCTAGGGGTCTCAGTTCAGTTTAGGAGTTTGGGACTTAGAAGGATTGCCTTTGAGTTTCTGAAGGGTTTCATAGGGCCTTTCTAGCGTTCAACTAGGGGTGATTACAGGGGTGTTTGCAGGCTTGCTTCGTTTTTGTTGGTGCTTTCGTGTCTTGCCTTGACCTGTCTGCCTCCCTTTTCGGACATGAGGGTGTTTGCGCGTTTTGGCTCTTTCGGGGTTTAGGATTTGGGATTAGGGTTCAGGGTTCATGGATTTGGGTTTAGGGGTTTGAGGGTGCTGAAGACTTGTGTTGATTGAGGCGCTTTGTTGCCGTGGTCGAGTTGCAGGATTCGGTTAAACTCGGGCTTTTTGGGATTCCTCTGTTTGTTGGATAGGTATTCCTTGAAGGGTTCGAGTTCGGCCGCTCAAGTGTTTGGCTGAGACTGCTAGTTTGAAGGGTTTTCGGCTTCAGGGGGTATAGAGTTTACAGGGCTTAGAGTTCCGGGTTTAGGATTGGGGTTAAAGGCGTCGTCTACTACCACTACCACTACTACTACTACTACTACTACTACTACTCCTCCTCCTCCTCCTCCTGCTCCTGCTGCTGCTGCTGCTGACAATAGCAATAATAGTAGCAATAATAACAGGGAGTAATGCTACTCCCGATCTTTTGGGTGAGCCATCAACTCTGCTCCTCTGGTGCTTCGCTGCAGGAAGCGTCTGGGCATCCCGGGCAAGGTCCGGGGACCCAGAGAAGCGACACCTCAAAAAACCCACAAACCCCAAACTTTTGGGACCCTGATCCCCACACCGCAGAAACTGCCGGCCTTAAAGGGGTTCCTGTATATGTACTTCAAGGCCGAAGTATAGACTATGTAGCCCGAAACCCTATAAACCCTACGAAAGTACATGGAGCCCTAAAGTTTGGGGATTAGGGTTTAGGGTTTAGGGTTTAGGGCACGTCGGACTCCTCCCTGAACTCTCACGCCCGATAATCGGCAAATGGCCCCGAAGTGTGAGGCTGCATGCCTATGTTCAAAGGAGGGGCCCTTAATGGGACCCCTACCCTATAATGGGCTATATAATGGCTATATATTGGCTAGATTAAGGGTATATGCCTAGGTGTCCTTATTAAGAGTCCCTCCTTTTCCCTTTTGATATATGGTATATACGAGGCCTAAAAGGGCTCCTTTATAAGTACTTCAAGGCCGAAGTATATACCATGGGAGACTTTAGGCAAGAACGGATCGGGCCCGACATCCTCTGAAATAAATCTGTGGCGTTTAGGATCAGAGCTACTTTATGGTAATTGAAGTGTGAGCTCACTTCGGCTTCATGCGGCAATTTTGGGACCATGTCCCGACATCTTCACGGGGAGCTAAATTACCCTGAACCCTGCACTATTTCAGGCATTCTTAGGGTGTTTATACGGATCATACCGGGTGTGTCGCGGTGTACAGGATTTTGATACGGTTGGTGTCTAGGGTCGGGGCCTGGGTTCTGGATGAGATTCGGGTTTGGGGTTTAGGGGTTCGGGTTCAGAGGGTTTTGGGTTTGTGGCTGTTGGGTGTAGGGCTTCAGGGTTTACCTCAACCCTTAAACCGCTGTAGGTTTTCGGATTGCAGGCGTTCGGCTGTGTGGCCTTGAAGACCCGATGTAATGACGGTGGGAGCATGGAAATCTTAGATACGGTGCAGGCCCCGAATCACAAGTTTCGCTAGTAGACTCCGCACCCCAGAGTCTATAAGCCCTGAAGCCTAATACCAGTTACTGGTAGGGTCTGTCAACTTGCCTGCTGCAACGAACCTTCCAAAACCACATACCCTTATCCACGTTTTGTCTTAGCCCAGGAGCCGTGCAAAGACCTGCATGCTCTCAGCTCTACTCTACTCTAAATCACACAGTACTGTAGTCCCCTCTGCCAAGATCTGCATGCTGACGGGAACGTGCTGCTTCCCAGTTTTCTGCATGTGGGGGGAAGCTGGTGCCTACCCATCACCCCGAATCTCTGGATGAGAGAGGGTTTATCGAGGCATCAAAAGGTGGGATGAAGGCAGGTACTTAGTAGCTGAGTGGATACACTTTACACTTTTTTCGGATGACATTTCACACTGTAACTATAAAACTGAAAGTGTACGCTTTTGGGGCTTATGAACTCAGCAACTAAGGGTAGGATTAAGGGTCCCTTACATTCGGACTCTTATTTTGGGTTTTGGTCTCTCCACCCAGTTTCGTCCCACCCTTGGAGCTTTTGAGTTTAGGGGCTCGGGCCTCCGATTAGGCTTCCCGTTGCAAGGGGGGTTCTACAAGGGTTTCGTCTTTTGGGGTCAGGATGATGGGGCCTTTAGGGTCTGCAAAAAGACTTACAGTGGAAGCCCAAAAGTTGGAAACCCATCCTTAAGAGTAATGTATAGGGAATCCCAGCCCTCTTTGGCCTTAATCCGGTTTCCAACTTTATGGGGTTTACTGTAAGAGTTCAAACGATCCAGCAAGTAATCAGTAAGACCCCAAAGAGCAGAAACTAGGTACGTGATGGGACGTGTGTAGACTTTACCTATAGTCTCCATTGTAGTTCCTTTTTTGGTTAACCAAACTCTCTATTATAGGATCCCAACCCTGAAACTGGTTAACCAAAAGGAACTACAATGGAGACTCTAGGTAGACCCGAAAGCAGGTTCTAGTTGTGAACTTGGAGTCTTTGGGATTGCACCCGAAGGCTCAAAATCGCCCAAAACCTAGTACTAGAGTAGGTAACCTTTAACCTTTTTGGGATAGTATAATCCCTATATAAGCCTCTATACAATCAAAGTTAACCTGTAGTTCCCCATGATACCCGACAAGTAGGAAAAGCATTAATAGAATGCGTGTTGTGTGTCCAAAAGCCTTAGAATAATATGAGCCCTTCTTGCTTCGGGCGAAGGTTGCGATTTGGGAGGGTATGTGAAGGAATATTCGGTAGCCAGACCCTCTTGGGAGGTACGTAGTAGGGTTTACGTAGTATTTTTCGGGGAATTCAGTGAATACAGAAGTGCTAGGTGCGGTTCCTCGAGTTTACTTATACGATTATTATCACAATCTACTATCAAACACCCTGTCTCAGTATTGAGGCAGGTATATGCCGCCCTAAAAGCTTTAAACCTGATCTGGTGATGAGCCGAAGGGTACAGATATCTCCGCAACTGCAGGCCTCATGTAGGGTGTGTGTGCATAAGTTTCCGGTGCTGTATACAGGGCCGTTCGGACTATAGATGAGTGTGTAAAGGGAACAGGGCTTGTCAGCAATATCCATGAGTGTATGCAGATCTTGCTCAACACATGTGGGAGTGTTTTCGGGTCCCCAACTCCCCCAAACCCTACACCCTGACCCCTAAACCCTAAACGACATGAATTCATAGTTTAGGGTTTGGTTTTAGTGTTTTGGCTTATAGCCTGGGGCGGCGACTCGCTTAACCCCCGGCCTCAAGTCCTAAACCCGAACCTTTAAATCCTAAACCTTAAGTCCTACACCCTAAACCTAAACTCCTAAACCCTGAACCCTCTGCAGTTGGCCAGCCTCATAAAAATGTTCATCGGACATAGTTTTTAACTTAGCAGTTGCGGTTTTGGTTTCAGGGTAGCAAGACCAATCTAGCTATAGCTTAATTATAACCTAGATTACAGTACTTCGCACCTTGCTTACTACGTCGTGGTTTTGGCGGCTTGGGTATTAACGCACCAGCAGCAGATTATTAGGCTTGCATGCCAGCTGCCATTACTGTGCAACATGTCATGCACCCTGTACCGGGATGTCACGTTCACCGATCAGCTAGCCTTGAGCCCCATACGTCGAGCTCTGGACGGTCGGGTTCCCCTCGCAGCGCTGCGCCCAGACCTATACCTCGCCACAGCTAATGACCTACACCAGCGGCAGTTATGCGTAGACTACACACTCCTCCATGGCCAAGATGGCTTGCGTTTGAATTTGCCCCTCAATAATGAGTGTCTACAGTGATCCTGAGTTTGGCCCAAAGGCTCGAGATGGCCCAAGACCCCTAAACCCTAAACCCCTAATCCCTAAACCCTAAACCCGAGATGGCCCAAGAAGCCTCATACAGTATGGGTCTCCTGAGCCCACATGCCTCACAATAGGGATTTGGGTTTAGGGTTTAGGGTTTGGGATTAGAATAGAGTTTCAGGATATTGTCAATCATGCGATAACCATCTTATCGCTAGCTAGAGGGAGTATAAGGGGCTACTTGGAGGATCATGGGACTTAAGTAGGGTTATAAGTACCCTAGGTTATAAGTAATTATAAGTATAGTTACCCTAATTATAACCCTAGTTACTAAGTCCCATGACCCTTTAAGTACTATTATGGTACTGATTCCGGGCCGACTCCTGGGCCTATCACCCCCAATATAGTAGCATTCATATAAGGAAGCCTAGTAAAGGCCCAAGGTTTCCTAATCGCGTTGCTACATTACTAAGTCCCCCGACCTTCCACTTAAAGGGTCATGGGACTTAGTAACTAGGGTTATATTTAAGGTAACCATACTTATAATTACTTATAACCCCAATTAGGGTACTTATAACCCTACTTACTAAGTCCCCCGACCTTCCAAGCACCAGCTCGCCAGGCGGAAGTTCAAAGGTATCCGACGCACCTACCACCTGAAGAAGAACGGGCGTCTGCCGGCTGGACTTTAGGGTTTTTGGTTCCCAGAGCCTCCAAAACCCCTTAATTAAGGAATATACCTTAATTAAATCATATAAGGGATCCTATTATAATTTAAGGTATATTCCTTAATTAAGGGGTTTTGGAGGCTCTGGGTTTGCGTTTCTGGGATTCCGCCTGGCCTTGATAGCGTTTGGCATTGTGAGTCATTATTGCGGCCTGCGCATTTTGGTGATGGAACTAGGTGTACTATATCTGATGTTTCCGCTCACTGTGTGGTGCCTCATTTGCTCTGTCAGAGAAATAGAACTTGGAACCAGTCCGGCAAGAGGTGTTGAAGCTCTGCGTGCTCTTGGGTAGTATTGCTTTTCGGAAGGAATGCACTATGCAGCAAGCGCGGTTGAGTTGACAGAGTCGCTAAACAAATGCTCAATGAACACTGCGGCATCATTGTCTCGAGGTCCTAGGCCCCAAGAACTTAATCTCTAAACCCAGCTAAGTACCCCGAACCTTAGCCCCAAGCCCTAAACCCTACCTTAGAGGATGCAGTTTGGGAACTTTCTCCGAGGCTACTGGCGACCGAACTGCCGTTGGATGAAGCTTTGGTGGGGACGGGTGCTGCCGACTTACTTGGGAACCTTGCTCTGGTTGATGGTTACAAGGGTTTAGGGCTTAAGGGCTTAAGGGTTTAGGGTTTAAGGGTTTAGGGTTTAAGGGTTTAAGGGTTTAGGGGTTTAGGGTTTAAGGGTTTAGGGTTTAGGGTTTAGGGGAAGGATGGTTGATTATTACCCAGAGGGTCCATACACACCACTATTATGGAATTAGGTCCCCAGAACCATAGTCGGGACGGTCTGTTAGAGCCTAATTCCATAATCGTAGTGTATATGGACCCTCTGGGTTATTGAAAATGCTAGTGACGGAGGAAGGAGATGGAATACCACGTCAAACCCCTATAAAACGGTTGATGATAAAAATCCAGCATTACCCATAATAAGAAATATACAATAATTCCCATAGTTTAGGGTCCTTAAGATAATGCAGGATTTATATCATCAACCGTACCCTCTAAGACGCCTCCGTCCCAAGACAATTAACTAGCCGACTCAGCCAGGCTTCGTTCTATCTGCGGGGTCATACCCCACCCCTTTTTTAGGGTACCTACTTTTCTATATAACAGATCGTAACAATGAAATTATAGGCTTATAGTTACCTTAAACAGTGGTAGGGTATGACCCTCTAGGTATTGTTGCTCCGGTTTTCCGGTTTGGGGTTGTGTTTTGCGGAGCTTCTCAGGCATGATGCTGCCAAGTTAATGAGTACTGCTCTTTCCTTGGGGCCCCTGAGAAATATTCTACTATCCCAGACACGGTTCTGGAATTGGGTCCCAAAAGACCATCCTTATTCATTATGGGTAATTCATGGACCCGCTGGGTAAACCCCTAGACCGTAATCAACTAAACCCCTAAACCCTGAATAAGCCCCAAATAAACAAAATCACTATATGATTTCCCTCCCACCTTCTGAGGATGATACATGTCCGTCTGGTGCTTAGTAGGGAATGGCCCTACTATGAACCAGACAGACTACCAAGAACCCTAGACCCCTATAATATAACCCTTACAGTACCCCTTATTTCAACCCTTGTAGTAACCCTTAAAGGAGCCCCTTCCCTACTAAGAGCAATGAGAGATTTTTGTGGGGCTCCGGGTTTGGAGCCTGCAGTGCCTAGAAACCCTAAACCCTAAACCCTAAACCCTAAACCCTAAACCGTGGCGGTTTCGGCCCTGGGGCTTCCAAGTTCCCGGACGCTCCGGGCTTAGGGCTTTGGGTTTCGGGGTTTAGGTTTACAAGTTTAGGATTTTAGGGCTTAGGGCTTATAGGGCTTATAGGGTTTATAGGGTTTAGGGGTTAGGGTTTTGAATGGGTTTAGGGTTTTCTTGGAGGGTCGAGGAACTTAGGAAGTAATTCTCTGTTAGACCTATAAGTGCCAAGATGCCAACTAGCTTTCTTTTTAGGATACTTATAGGTCTACTTCGTCACTACTTGCTAAGTTCCACCGACACTCCAAGTAGGGTTTCCTGCGCGGCTGGGGGTCACAAGCACCTTACGCTGAACCCTAAACCTTAAACTCGTTACGCTGAACCCTACTAAACCCGGAAGTTTTTTAGACCCCGGACTTTCAGTTAGGATGCGGTAAAGTTTGAACCTATGACCCATTGATGCCTTTCATAACTAGCAAGCATGGCAAGAAGGAGCTGCGTCATAATGAGTTTCAGGGGGCTTGGGGATAGCTCTAAGAGCTGTTTGTCATTCTGTTGAGCTGGCAGCATTACGAAAAGCCAACTGCCAGGAGAAGAAGTGGGTCAGCCTTTACATCAGCATGGGAGGACTTCGCAAGGTTGGGTACTTGTCGTGAAGTCCCTTCATGTAAAGACTCAGACTCGGCGGTACGGTTTGCTTCGCCGTTCTTGAACCTGTCTTGTGTATGTAATATAGGGGTCCGAGCCGTTGGCAAAACTATTCCTCAACAGTCCCTATACATCTGCACGTTTTCGTACGCCGAAACCCTATTCTAAGCAGGAAGGACCTGCAGAACCCTGTGCTAAAGCCTATTCTGGTTGTTAAGGCTCCAACACTACCCCTTGCTTGTAGAATCCTTGGTAGAACTCCTCTGGACACCCTTTAACTGATCAGCTACACATTTTAGGGATAATGTTATTTCATAAGTTATATCCTTACAAAACTGAAAGTGCGGACGGTATGAGGCGGATCCACTTCGCAGCTAAGCCTTAACGGAACTCCTTAAAGGAACCCGTATTCTAATGATGGAAGCCAGTATATGGGAATTTCCGAAGATTCGGTGAACTAAATTTTGAGGTTTGTTTTAATCAGGATCCTACTATTTAGGGTACTATAAGGGTCCCCTATGTTTGGAAAACTCCCAGACAAAGTCCCCTAATGTTGTTGCACGTTTTAGGTTTTTGGTTGTTATGAGGTTCAAGGTTTGGGGGGGTTAGGGGTTAGGGCTTTTGGGGTTTGGGTCTGGACATCAATCATTTGCACCTCACAGGTGCAGAGTCAGGAGACCTAGTAAGTAAGAAGTAAGTAGACTTGTAAGTACCATGTCAGCGATCCTATATGGGCTTGTGGTACTCATAAGTCTATAGAACTAACTACTTGTTATGTCCCCCGGCACTCAAAGTAAAGATGCTGGGTACCTCGAGAGCTCTGTCTCGGCGCGTCTCGGGAACTTCAAACCCAGCCGGCGTGCTTCAGGGGAGCGCCCCTTCCGCACGCATAAGTCCGGCGCCCGCAACAAAGTCGAGGACACGGTCACGGGGGAGGTCCACGTCCGGGACCTGATCATGAATGAGTAACTGTTAGCAAGAGAGTGCCTGGGCGATTTTGCGCGCATGATCCCGGCCCATGCCTATGCCGAAGCCGACACCTTGGCCGATGCCTCGTCCGGAAACGTGGTCGGTTAGGGTTTTGGTTTTCCGGTCATGACTCTCAAAGTGCTTCGAAACCTCAACCCCTACATATGAATGAAAGCCCTTGAATCATTGAAGAAGTTACTGACTAAGAAGCAGACGGCAGTGAGCCAAAGCACGCCATCCCAAAACCTGAATACCCTACACCCTGGTGTCGCTTGGACACAGGCTGCCCTTAATGCATCCATTTCGCCGGGCCCCATGCGAACATTGGACATCGCTTCCGATCACGCAGCACCTGTTCAGCTGTTGAAGCACGCATAGTCACTGTACACGCTCGATCCTCGGAACTCATATTTGTGCGAGCTTGGCACTGAGGCAGTCATTGTAACCAGCCGCCGCTTCCCACTCGACTGTAACTGCCAACAATCAAAAGCGGCTCAAAAGCGCAAAGCTGCAGCAGTGTCGTCAATGAGTCAACATGAGTCAACACTCTTGGCTTGTTGGGCTGTGGGGTGCCGGCTTTGACTTAGATTGTGAACGGGGGAACTTTAGACTTTGTTTTGGCCTTATATATTTGCTCTAGCTTAGAAAGTTTGAACTTTTTGGGGCCCGGTTCTTGAAGAAGAGAGTTGAGTTCGGGGTTACAGCGCTAGCTTTGCAGAGGCTGCAAACGTCACCTCACCGGGCTCCCTGGTGCGACTTCAGTACACAACCTGATCCTCTACACCCTAAGCTCTAAACCTGTGCAGACCCCTAATTAGGCAGGAACCGGAAAGTTCAACCGTTCATTTTTGTGAGTAGGACAGGAACCCTTATTGAGGAGTGAGTAATTGTGGGGACTCAACGTGGGTCAACGTGGATCCATGGCAGGTCGACAGGTTCGGACTCGAGGAGGCAGCCAGGTGCACCGCCATGTTTGTTACTGTTTATGAATTTGTCTCGAGGGTTCCATGGTCTCGGGGAGTCTTCTACGTGCTTCAGGGTTCAGGGCTGATGCATGGGGTTTTAAGCTACGGGTGTAATCGAGGGTTGTGAGTGCAACATCGAAGCCAGAGCAGGTTACTGTATGCCATCCCATCGGGTGTTTTGTCCGAACTACATCATAGCCTTGTCCACAGTAACCCCTTAAAAGATCTTGTTTAAACTATCCTTTCCAGAAATCCTGTTGTAATGATTAAGGCCTTTAGATCGATCACCTGGTTGATTGAGAACCTCCGTTCCAGCGTCGAAGGACGCGTGCCTGCAGTTTTCACTACAAAGGCGTTCTTCCGCAGATCAGTTTTGCCTACTCCGCCACAACAAGGAATGATCTCTACATGAATCTAACTGAGTTCGCACCCTATAAACACTTAACCCCGAACTCCTAAACCCTGGCCATTCCGTCGAAGGATGGCCTACTAAGTGTCGGTAGGGCTGATGTCATCAGGAGAGCATGGGAGAGTTCAACACTAAAGGGTCCCCTGCAAACTCTTAGGTCCCCGATACCCAACCTTAAAACCTCTTTAGGCTCTTATAGTTAAGTAGAAATCGGAAAGTTTAACCTTACATTTCTTTGGTTTGTTGGGGCCGAAGGCCACTCAGACTTCCGAACAGAGGGGCCGAAGGCCCCGTAAGAAAAAAGAATACTAGTGTACCGCCGTTAAACAGGTAAGAACTTCGTGGAACCCGTTTCAACCTGACGGCCCCTGTCGACCCCTCGCAGCCACGAAGTCTGAACAAGCCCTTTCAAAAGGGGATCTTTTCTTAGTATAGGGTTTACGGTTCTACTTGCAGGGTCGGGGAACTTAGTATTTACTTTGTAGACTTATAAGTAGCATAACCCTCATTAAGATCGCCTTTTATGGGTATCTATAACCTTTTTACTAGGTCCCTCGACCCTTCAAGTTCAACACAGACAGTTGACGCATCACGAAGAGCATAAACCACAGTTAGTAACAGCAATGTTTGCGTGACTTGTGAAAGTCATACGAACCAGCCACAAGTAATAGGAATATAGTTAATGATGAAAGCAAACAAAAAATAATGATAATGGCCAAACCCTAAAGGCCAAAACCTAAACCCCTAAACCCCCCACACCCTAAACCCTGAACCCTAAACTGAACCTCGGAGCGAAAGTATCTGGATAGGTTCGCTGGACTGGACTTGTATGCCTGGTCCAAGGACTTTCAGAGTTCAGGATTAAGGGTTTAGGGTTTAGGGCCGCGGCCTTCTTACCTGGGATCTCTGTACATCGTGTAAATGAAGGCATACCTCCCTTCTAACATAGAGGGGGTCGGCTCAGCGATGCAAGTGGCAGGGTGTAGGGTTTAGGGTGTGCAGCTTACTCGAAGTTGTCTTACGATTTCGACATTGAACCGATAATGATATCAAAGGGTTTGAACTCTCCAAACCCAAGGCCGTAAACCCTGAACCCTAAACCCGTTGGGTCTAGCGTTTAGAGACGACACAATCTTGTTGCCAACAATAAAATAAGCGGCCGAGTCGGTCCTCGTTGAGGCATGTCATACTTGGATGGTCGGAAGACGTAGTAACTGGTTATTTTCAAGACTGATACCGGGTTTTGGACGACCATACTTTAATTCTTTTTTCTCAAAGGAACCATGATGAAATACAAGTGTTTAGGGTTCAGGGTTCGTTTGGGGTTTACAGTTCAAGGTTTGTCTAGGGTTTAGGAATTTAAGGTTCATGGTAAGTGGGCCCTCTGGGCCATCAGGGCAGCCCCTTTTAACAAATCGCCGGGAAGCCACGTGTCCACCTTCGGCATGAACCGGGACACCACAGGGGCCTTCTCCAACCCTCAAAACGTAATGGGGGCTTTTCCGCACTTCCTGCATCCTCTGGTTGGCCTCCACTGCAGTGAAACAGGAAGTCAGTATCGTTGCCCGAGGGGCTGGGTTCGTGCAGAGCTGGTGTGAGCGAGACGGACATCTCGCAGGCCACAGCGAGACAAGAGAAACAACAAAGTACACCACGTCGACTCTCTGCTGAAGGCAGAGGAGAGCTGGAAGAACCTCAAGGGGTGCCGCGGCCGACATGGCTGGCAACAACCCAGTTGACGCACCGGTCATGGCTGCAAACACTGTCAATGCCCTGGTTTCAGAGAGCCAAGACCAAGAGGCCATGGAGGTGAACGTGGGGGTGCATGGAGCGCTTGTGATGGCAGCCGGGCAGGACGGGGATCACACGAGTCACACCTGTGGTGCCCAGTCTAGGCGGAATCGGCAGACCTTGACAAGGATCAGGTTTATCATGAACCCAGCTGCAGATGTTGAGATCACGAGACCCACCATAGAGACTGCTGCATGATCTACAGCTTTGGGCAGGGGTGATGGATTGATGCGGTGATACCACGTTATGTTTTGAAACAGTGAGCAATGACCCGAACATGGCTGATGTGGATATCCTTGTCTTCTGTTGGGGTCGGGGGACGCAGTATGAAGGTAGACTTGTAAGTATCCTCACAGAGGGATCCTGCTTGGGGTCATGATGCTCATAAGTCTTTACAATCGATTTGGGGTTTAGGGTACCCTAAACCTTCCAGGTGAATGATAAGGTTTTAGAAGTTCAGGGCTCAGGGTTTTGGGTTTGGGGTTTTTGGCTTAAGTTACCCTGATCATGTAGGTACTTCTGTTGCAAAAGCCCTTAACCCCAAACCCTTACTCAAACCGAAACAATGAACCCTACATCCTAAACCCTAAACCCGAAGCAAATGCTGTTTTATGATAAGGACTTACAAGAGAAATTGCTCAGGGTGCAGCCCACTCCCGCCAATGTCGGGGATGTCGGTTATAGGGCCCCAAGAAGCATATAAGCAAAACCAAGGTTAGGGATATCCCATATAACCTCCCTTACAATGAAGCCCAATAAGCTAGGGATATCCCTATGCAATGCTTATGCTTATATGCTTTTGGGGTCCCTTTATAAGGTTAGGGTTTAGGGAGAAGGAATAGTTTTTGTCTCCGCGTCTAGCGGCCCAGTTCCCTTTCATTATTTGGAGGGCCGGGAGACTTAGTAGATAATAAATAGCCTTATAAGTAACCTAAAGAGGACACTTATTGGGGTTAGGAGACTTATACTGGGCTTTTATGTACGTAACCAGGGAGAAAAGGTATACACTTTTATTTCATCATGGTTCCTTTGAGAAACCCGGTATAGGTCTTTAAAGTAACCAGCTACTAAGTCTCCCGACCATCCAAGTATGACATGCCTCAACGCAGACCCAGGACCGACTCGGCCCGCTTATTTTTTGTTTCACTTGGAAGGTTTAGGGTACCCTAAACCCCAAATCGATTGTAAAGACTTATGAGCATCATGACCCCAACCAGGATTCCTCTGTGAGGATATTACAAGTCTACCTTCTTACTACGTCCCGCGACCCTCCCAGCACGCTCTAAACTCTACACCCGTAAGCCCAAAACCCTAAACCCTTGAGCCCAAAACCCTAAACCCTTGAGCCCAAAACCCTAAGCCCAAAACCCTTATGGAACCCTCATGGAGCCCTGAAGCTCTAAACTCGAAAGCTGGAAGGTTTAGGGTACCCTAAGCCCTAAACCCTAAACCTTAAACCCCTGACCCCTAAACCCTAAGCTCTAAACCCCTAACCCGTAAATCAAGTACACCCTAAACCCCTAAGCCCTAAACCCGAAGCCTTAAACTTCAAGTTGCAAGGAGCATTGGGAGCCCGGCAGCCGACAGCCTCTTTGCCTTCGGGTGCAGGGGAGGGGTGGGAAGCTGGCGCTTTTAGGTGTTCAGGCTGTAGGAATTATATGGTTTAGGGGTTTAGGATTTAAGAGTCTAGGGGTTTAGGCTTTGGGAATTAGGGTTTAGGGGGGTTTAGGATTTAGGGGTTTTGCGGTTTATAGGGGTTTAGGGATTTAGGGGTTTAGGTATTTAGGGGTTTAGGGTTAGGGTTTAGGGTTTTGGTTGAGGGTGTGGAATTTAGGGTTCAGGTTGACAAAATTTGCATTTTTAGCAGCGCAGTTTCGTCGACTGCAAGCGATAGTGCAGAACGCAAAGGCCAAAGAAAGTATTGGTTAGAAGCTGCCCCCACCCTGTAATAGTGGTATAATAGGAATATAATAGGGCCCTAATATGATCCTATATAATCCTTATGGTCACTATTACAGGGTGGGGGCAGCTTCTAAAGTATTGGGTCTTTTGGACCCTTGGGAGTAGTAACTGTATCGGGCTGGGGCAATTCGGGATCATCATGCGCAGGATTCCCTCTTCTGTGTGCTTGTCAGGAAGCATTGTTCATTTTTGTCAAACATACAAACCTTTGGGTTAGTAAAGATGATTTTGGTTTCAGTATGGCCTAAGGAGCTTTGGGTCATGTGACTGTGTCATAGTGTAGGAACCTGATTAAGAAACCCTGGGCCTACAACCCCCAAAATACTACTCGTAGGGTTCATATAAGTAACCCTAATAAAGGCCCAAGGTTTCTTAGTCAGGTTCCTGCATTACCGTGCCAATATGGCCCTACAGTTATTGTTGGTGTATTATGATAAACTAGCAAGAATAGTGCGTGCAGGGAGTCACCCATTAAGGATTTTAATTGTGAGGTCCACATTCCTGGCAAAATGCTTGCAGATATTTAGGTGCTATACGGGATTGATTGAAGACTCAGTATATATACTGTGATATCTTAGGGTCCCTCTTGTCTTTATACCATCTCATTAAGGCCCCTACCTTGCTTGTGACTCACAGGCTTTTTACCTTGGCATATCGGTAGCGCCACCTACTTATGTGGTGGCCTATCCTCGCACGTTCCCTACGTTCTAGAGCCTACGTTCGGTATTTTACTGCCCGACACTCGGGAGGAACCATGTCTGGAAGTCTCAAGAGCCCGACATCCGACCTGTGAATATCTTGAACTTCACCAGGCTGTTCAGTGGTACACTTTTTGCTTTCAGGTTTCTGGGTTCCTATTACAAAATGAGAAGCCTAAAATATTATGTGCTTTTTCCCAGTGGGTTACTGAACAGCCTGGTTCAACGATGCCTTATAATGCCGCCATATATAGTCGGATCCCCAAAGGCTGCCCTAAGCAAACCATTGACCCTGAATGCGAGTATAGGCACCGTATAGAAGTTAGAACAGGGTTTTGGGGGGCTATTTACATCTACTAATCCTAAAGGGACTATACTATGTAAGGGAATACCTTCATAAGAAAATTGCAACCCCCGTATTACATTTAAAGCGCGCTCTGCTGATCCTCCCGCCAGTTCGGTATCACTTCTCAAGCCGCGAAAGATCGCAAGCAGTGGCCGCGGGGCCAAGAGAGGGTTGAGGACCTGGCTAAGCCTAGCCGGTTTATAGACTTATAAGTATCATAACCCACCAAATAGGATCCCATTTAGGGCACTCGGTCTATTTATTTACTTTCTACTTACTTAGTCCCCCGACCCTCCGAAACACTACATGGGTACCCGGACCCCTGCGGTAAGCTCCGATACGACCGCAGAAGGGTCCGAAGGACAAGTAAGTAAGGTTAGACGTGCCTGAAATCAGTTTCCAGCTCCATTCATCAATCCCATGACACTTTTAACCCCTAAACCCTAAACCCTAAGCCCTAAACCCTATACCTAAGCATCCCACAGGGCTCGACATACCCACGGAAAGCCTTCTATCGTTGCTTTTGTACTCAAAAGCCTGCGGATTGACACTCGCGTAACAGGCTTGTTTTTACGTTAGCATTTCCATGTTTGCGACATGCGTGTTCGGGGCAGGCCCTAACCCTAAGGGTCCATGTACCCATATAGCATATACTTTGGGCCCAATGTACCTATTATAAGGAGTAGTTTAAGGCCAATATGGGAGTTTCCGAAAATAGGGGTACCTTTTTGGGGGGTCCTTATATTCAGGATCCTACTATTTAGGGTACCATGTTAGGGTCCCCCTATTTTCGGAAACGCCCATATACTATATGAGTACATGGACCCTTAGGAAATACATCTTGACTCTCAGGCGGCATTTGCAGGTTCAGGTCCCTCCTGGTTCTGTAACTTAGATCCCCAATGCCCAACCTTCAAACTTTGTGGTTTCTTATAGTTTATAGTAGGAATCGGAAAGTTAAACCTCTCATTTTTGTGGCTTGTTGGGGGGGTTTGTAAGGTTCTGTCTTGTACGACAGGCAGGTTTCCATACGGATTCTTCTTTGTGGATGCTGGAGTTTGGCTGCGAAGTTAACTATCCCTTGTGCTTTGATATTCCGGTGCCGGACTGACCATCAAGAAAAGCCGCGTCTATACCAGACTTTCCAATATCCCGTAATTAATTAAGGAATATACCTTAAATCACATCAGCAATCCTATTAGAACTTAGGGTATTTTCATTCGTCGAGGGTGCATATACGCTGCCATTACTCTCCGGAATTAGGCCGCCAATGATAGCTCGTCATTGTTGTGGTTTTGCGGACCGAACTCCATAACTCTCGTACCTTATGATCCACGCAGACCCTAAGCCGGATCCAAAAGATGGATACCTGAAACAAAGCCCTATCTCAGACCACGTCGCAGTAAGATGCCTGTTCTGGGTTCTTCCTTTTGGATCCTGTCTAGACCGGATCCAAAAGAGGGATACCTCAGACAGCCCCATCTCTAGCCACATCATGGTAACATGCCTTTTCGTGGTTCTTTCTTTCGGATCCTTTAGAGGATCCCGTGCAGGAACCCTTAAAGGATCTCTTATAGGATCCCTTAAAGGATCTGGGTTTGCGCGATTCTCGCGCTCTGTCATGTGGAGGTTTGGGTTTAGGGTTTCAGGGTTTAGGGTTTTGGGGTTTAAGGTTTTAGAGTCCAGGGTTGTTTTCGATTCCAGGTTAGGCCTCAATTGCCCAGGGTTTTAGTTTAGAGTTTTCGTCATATGGAGAAGGACACAGCCGCAGATTCGTGGTAGGGTCAATCGAACCTCAGGGTAAACGCCCTAAACCCTATAAATTCTCAACGGATTCCAGAAATTCTCAGGCCCTAAGCCCAAAACCCCAAACCCTGTAAACCCTCAACGGATTCCAGAAATTCTGAGGCCCTAAACCCTAAACCCAATCTCAAACGCTCCCCGCAATGATTCCGGAAATCCTCAGGCCCGACTACATCGAGCACCTGAACAAGGGTGCTCCCCTGGCAGAGAAATTCGCCGTCGGGGTACTCAGAGCTTCTTGGGAAGTACTTGGAGGTCTAGAGTTTAGGGTTTAGGGTTTTGGGTCTAGCTTGGAGGTTCATGGGTGGTTATACGGCTGATGATATAAATCCTGCATTACCCATAATAAGGAATATACCATGATTCCCATAGTTTACGGTCCTTAACAGGATTTATATCATCAGCAGTGCTTGGAGGTTCATGGGTTGTTAGAATTGGGGTTATAAGTGCGGTGACGATACTCATAACCCTTGTTAGGGGACTTAGAACCCCACTTATAACTACCCGTGAACCTCCAAGTAATCATAGTCCGAATACTTGGTAACCTATCGTACATGTAGAGTGTCGTGCACATGTGTTCACCGACACTTTGTTCAGATTAACTATGAAGGCTCGTATATACCCAGTAGCATATCCGGTCCGATGATACGACTGGTCTTTGGTGCAGTGGACGTGGGGGTGTAAAGTAGACACCAGAAATTTGCACCTCAGCATCCTCATGTCCCTAAAAGCTATAATCGAACAACCTGGATTTAGCTATATCAGAACCGTGGCTTGGGGTGTAGGGCGCAGGGCATCGTGTTTTCCCAAAGCCCTTAATAACCCTAAACCCTAAATTTAATGTGTAGGGTTTATGGCATCTTGTTTTTCCCAAGCCCAAATTCCAAGGGTAAAAGGAGGGACCCTTAATAAGGACCCCTAGGCATATACCCTTAATATAACTATTATATACTATATACCCATTCTATAGCCAATTATAGGGTGAGGGTCCCTCTTTTTCCCCTTTGACAAATTTTAATCTTAACACCTATAGGCCCTAAACCTCTAAAGCCCTACACCCTAAGGGCCAAAAACCTAAAGCCCGAAAACCCTAAACCCTAAACCCCTAAAGCTTTGAATCCTAATACCTACACTCTGCCTCAGGGCCCGCCGAAGTTCAAGAAGCCCGTTCCCTGGGCGGTGCGGAAGATGAAGCAGCAGAGGCCCGCCCAGACCTTCCCCAAAATCCCTTAAGGATTGCCTAGGGCTCCCTGAAGGGATCTACGTAGTATATGTATGTTGGTACAACATAATTTGGAGTCCGAAATAATTACCAATAATATTCCTGGAACTCTAATTAGGTACGGACTTTAGTTTTAGTAGAATATGCCCCGAAACCCGATTCTAATTTTTCAGGCCCCTATATTTTCCACCAAACCCACATTCTAGCTATAAGGCCCGTATATGGGTGGTTGTCAAAATTAAGGTCCCATTTTGGGCCCTAATAGGGACCCAAAACGGACCACAAATTTGACAACCGCCCATATACCCTAAACCCTATAGACCCCAACCCTAAACCCCATAAGCCCCCTATAAACCCGAATTATAAGGCCCCTATATTCTATGGTTCTAGAACAAGGTTCCCTTTTAATGGCAATTTTCTGAATTAGAGTCCCTTGTAGCGTCCTTTCTATATTCTACTCATAAGGCCCGTATATCATGAAGTATTCTCCGATGAAAAAAAGAATCGAAAAGCACCGAAGGCTCGAGGCCATGGGACCACCACCCGGCTTGAAGGCCGGACGGCTGCGGCTCACGGCGTTTAGGGTTTTATTTTAGGGTTGCTGTAAGGGTACTCTAAGGCTTCCGAATTTTGGGTTTAGGGGTTTGGGGTTTAGGGCTTTAGGGCGTTTAGGGTTGTATGGGGTTTAGGGTTCCTTGAAAGGGATCTACAAGGGCTCTTTAAAGGGATCTATAAGGGTTCTGGAAAGGGGTTTAGGGCTTCAGTGGTTTGGGTAGGGTTTAGGGTTTTAGGGCTTTGTGGTTGTATGGGGTTATGGGTTTTAGGGTGTTTCGGATTGAGGATTTTGGGATTTGTTATTTTAGGGTTTAGGGCTTTAAGGGTTTAGGGTTGTGTAGGGTACAGGATGGTGCTTTATCAAGGGTTGCAGGGTTTATGCAAATTTTATGGTTTGTTTGTCATGGGTTGGGGCTTACTTGGAGGGTCGGGGGACACAGTAAGCAGACGATAAGCAGACTTATAAGTACCTTAAAGCTCATACCAACTAGGGTTCTTGTACTTGTGAGTCTATACGGTAACTACTTGCGAAGTTTTCCTCGACCCTCCAAGTAGGGTGCAGGTCAGGGTTCGGGGTTCAGCAGGACCTTAAGGCGCAGTCAATGGAGGATTGATGGTCCAAAGCAGTGGGTATTCAGGCTATATGGCGCTGTAGATGGCGGGGGGTGGGGGTCCACCTTTAGCTAGTTCTTTGGGGTTACTTCTAGGGTCAGGGGTTCTATAAGGGCATGGGGCTAAGGTTCCTCAAACCTGCCTTTCTAAGCTAGGATGTCGTTTATTCATTGAGGTAGCGGGTGTAGGGCTATAGGGTCTATATAGGGCCTGGGTTAGCATTACGGCTCTCCAAATACAAACAAAGGCCTTTGTTTAAAATATTTTACTCAATGTACCTTCCGACAGTAATGAACCTAACGCAAAGGGTCCAAGTGCCATGAACAATCATAAAATCTCCCTGCAGCTACCCTACACAATTACTATCCGAACTGTTGGACCTTTTGGATATTTAGGGCAATTGAGCGTTCCAGGGGGATGTCTGGCATGTAATGTAGCAACCTGATTAAGAAACCCTGGGCCCTATAACCCCAAAATAGTAGCATTCATATAAGGAGCCCTAATAAAGGCCCAAGGTTCCTTAATCAGATTCCTACAGTAGCTCCTGTTTCAAGGTCGAGATGAAGACGCCCGGCGAGAGCATGCAGACGGAAAGCCGCTAGTTGTATTCAGACACCGTGGTGCCCCCGCTTCTTCATTTTTCTTCGGCGTCGCTTCTTTAGTTTCGTGCTAAAACTCTTGATGTTTTAGGGGCAAGGAATATGTCGGCTTGCAAAATAAGTGCTTGAACATGCTGCACATATCGTGCGCTTGGTCTAGGAGGTGCATTGCTCACGCATTTACCAGGAGGGGCACCACATGAGCTAGGGTGCGGGGTATATGATGGTATTTTAAGAGACGTTCGATCCTAATGGAAACCCTATAGTCTCAGTCCCCCCAGTGAGGAATGAGAGACTTTCAGACACAGCTAGGTCCGACACCTGAATCTCTCGAGCCAGAAACCCCGTAGCCCTACGAAGAATTCCTGTCGCACCGCAGAGACCAGGAGAACTCTTAAATCAGGATCACCAGACCACTGTACTTCACCTAGTAGTAGGTAACCTTTAACTTTTGTTGGGTAGTATAGCCCCTATATAATCCCTCTATAACCCCAAAGGCTTCCCCATGATACCCGACAGGTAGGTTCAGGAATACGACTACGAAGCCAGCTTCGACTGTGAGAAGTTTTAGAATCATGGGGTATGTTCATTGGTTACTGTTCCTTAGAATCTACCGTAAAGATTCTAAGGGTCAGTAACCAATCAACAGATCCCATGATTCTTGGTTATATGCATCTTACAGTGACCCATCGCGTCCCATAACCCTCTCACTCTCTCTGTTTCTCTATGTATACCCACGTACACGTGTACATATGCGGTATACATATATGTATACTATATACAAATGCATATATAGGTGTATTTCTGTCAAAATCTTACACATCTGTATGTTTATGTCTTTACATTTTCATGTGCACACTGCTTTGTGCGTATATACGCACGAACGGACGGACAGACGGACAGACAGATAGACAGCTGCACAGGTATATGATGTTCTCGTAATTGTCATGCTCAGATTGGGTTACTCGGGAAGAGATTTCTATACAGAGCAAAAGCTTGAAGCATCAGAAGCCTATAACAACCCCATTGTGAATCCCTACGGAACTTGATAGCTATCTTCAACCCGAAACTCTAGACCTTCTACAACATCCTTATAACCTTTACCCGAGTATCCTACCTTGGTCTCAAACTAAATCCTAATCCGGAGCCCGCCGGAACTTTGGAATTAAAGCCTAAACCCCAAACCGGAAACCCTAAACCGTCTACAACATGACGCTGGGGTCTCTTAGCACAACCCCCGCTCCCTGGCAATCGTTGCATCCTTGTGTCTCGCGCAGCGAAGCGAAAAGAGCAGCTGGCTTTTTCGCTAAGGGTTCTACAGCGGCTAATAAAGGTTATATAAGGCCATTCTGCTTTAGAGTTCAAGGGTCCATGTGCCCATATCTCAATCCTACAACCTAAGGCAGACTGGATGCGTGGTCCTCAGGTGTGAGTGGAAATACTGAGATGAACTGCGAAAGAGGGTTTACGGATTGCTGCATCTATACGGGGATGAGGCCCCACTGAGGGGTGTATTTCGTGGGGTTGCTGTATATCCAGAGACTCTTAAGCCTCTTAATCAAGGATTTTAGGGTTTAGGGTTTAGGGTTTAGGGTTTAGGGTTTAGGGTTTAGGGATGGAATTTCAGGGTATGTTGCTTGATTCAGGGGCTTTGGAGTCTCCAGATATCTGTACATCAGATGCCAGGCAAGTAACCGGTAGACATTGGGTACAGCCCCCACTCAGTAACAGTTGGATAATATTCATAATATAGCTATATTAGGACCTTAATCGTAGCCCTATATGCTCGTGTTTGACTCCATGCAAGAGTCTTGTTCGCCCAACCCCCTGAGATCGTGAATCTCACATCCAGAAGCACAAGTGGAAGAGCGAATTTCACTCAGCCTACATACAGCTACCTGTAGCCGGAAAGACCTACCTTTTTAGAGTTCCTTATTATGGTTTCTATGTATAGTTCCCTAAAAAGGTAGGTCCTTTCGGCTACATGGGCCCTGGCTTGTAGCACCTCATCTGGTAATACAATACATAAAGTAGGGTGTCCACAAACAAAACGTTAAAGGGGTCAGAATAATTTGAAACAGCATGCCGTTCTAGATAATTAAGTCCCTGATCTACTTGTTGTTGAATATGCACCCCACAGCGCTGTTGTAATTTTCAGACCCCTGTAGGATATGGGAGTTTCCAAAAACCGGGGACCCTCGAAAATAGTACCCTAAATAGTAGGATCCTTACTAAAAGAACCCCAAAATAATGTAACCCTTAGTTTCGGAAACTCCCATAGACGTCCCAGGTCTAGAGACTTCCGGCTCCGCTGTTTCATGTCAACCCTCCCTAGCTGAAACCGGCATCAACCCGAAAGGGCCTCAAGCCCAGAGAGCCCACTACCCTTTAATTAAGGAATATACCTGAAATCATAAGGGGCTTCATATTATGATTGAAGCTATATTCGTTACCCTAAGGCTCAAGATAGCCCACAAGCCTTACATAGTATGGTCTTTGGGCCCAAAAGCCTTAAAATATGAGTCCTGAGAGCCTGAGGGTCATTAAGGGGTATTGGGCCACGGTTTAGGGTTTAGGGTTTAGGGGTTTAGGGGTTTAGGGTTTAGGGTTTAAGGGTTTAGGGTTTAGGGGGTTTAAACCCACCTGTAGCCATATTCGGGGAGGCATTGCTTCCACGCTCTCGGCAAAACAACCCCAACCACCATCAAGATTGTTTAAGCCACATCCGAACAATCCCTAAACTCTATAGCTCCCTTAAAGGAGCCCTTAAAGGAACCGCTTAAAGGAACCCTAATCCCTAAACCCGAAAAACAGGAACCCCTAAGATTCCTCAAAGAAAAGGTGCTCTCCAACCTAAGCCACATCCCTACAATCCCAGTCCCGGTGCCATAAAGGAAAATGTCTTAACCTCACATCGCATACCCCTTTGCCAAGATTCGAGCCCCAAGCCTTGCAAAAGCAATTCACCCCTAAAGTGCAACACCCGCCCTTCCCAGATCCCCAAATTGCGAAAGCATGAAGCAGGCAGATTGCTCCAGAGCTCTTGGCCATCGCACCTCAGCGTGAATGTGGGGTTTGAATGTGGGGCATAGAGCTTTCGAGCTCCACCCCAAAAACCGAGCTTCTAACCTCAATTTCTAAACCCTGAAGTCAAGGCCCTTCATTTTCCACCGCTAGGGCCCATATCCCTGATACTCCGACCCTCCTTCTTCTAGGAATACCCCAATGGACAGCATGAAGGAATAATGACAAGCGAACCGTATAAACTCCTGAGGCAAGCCCCGTAAACACATTTCTAGCTGAAGAAGGTAGAAAAGCACAAACACCTGCTGGTAACACTCTAGAATGGTAGACAGAACCCGACGTGCTTCGGAACGCTCAACAGAGGAGCTTTTGTGCATTCTGTGATGAGTAGCAGGTTGAGAGCAAATGAACCCGTCAGTTTATGGTTCATTCGGGTTTCCCAAAATCCTGAGTTCTTGGAATCACCCGTATCCCAAGTAAACACCAAACAGGCTGCTCGAGAATCTCTTTGATTTCGCCGTAGGGGGTGGGATAGGGTTTTGGACGTCAGGGTTTTCTTCTCCCAGGCTTACCATCCGCCTGAAAGTCTGAAAGTGCTGTTGGGATTTATGGTATGGCGCTTCAGGGCCTGTGGTTAGGGTTTAGCCCCAAGCCCCAAGCCCCTAAGCCTAAACCATAAAGCCTTAGCACAGCTTGGTTTTAGGGCTTTGGGGTTTAGGGAAAGTTTACTTTGGGGTTTCAGTCGGGGCATATTAGGTGGGGTTACGGTAGTGGCTAATTGCTGAATTCGGGTTGAGCGGGTTTAAGTTCTGACAGCAGCGTGCATTTTGCAGCCTGAGGCATGAGGACTGTGGCGCCGGGAATCTCAGCAAAGATGTAAGACGTCGTGGTGTCAACGTCAGAAAATGTGTGTCGTTATCCGGGTGCAGCTGTTTCTTTATCCCAACTGCCGGCACGCAACGGAAAGATACTACGTACCCTACGGGTCCAAAGGACCCGATTTAGGTACTCGGCTTTAGGATAGTAGTTATGTAGGTTACTATTTTGGAGAGTATGTGATAATTAGGTAAAGGGAACTCCAGAAAGTTGGAATATGGTTTCATGGTAGGATACCCTATAATTTACCATAGAAGGGTTAGGATAATCATATTCCAACTTTCTGGCTTTTATCTTAAGCGCAGAACTGTGCTCCCCTCACAGGTGACCCCGAGGCTTCCGGTAGAGTCCCCAAGCTGCTAGAGAGAGCGTTGCTTCTGCCCCGGCCAGTGCTTAATTCCACGAGGTCTTGAGGGAATAGAGCAGCCTCAATCAACCAGAAATGATGACCAGTATGATTCCTTAGGGCTCTTTATGGCAATTATACGATAAAAGGAGCCCAAAACCCAGTTTCAATTATCAAGGCCCCTGCATTACATGAATTCAGATGTCTGCTTGGAGCCTCAAGGGTGGTCAAGCAAGTTAGCTGTAGATATGGGAGTTTCCTAAAATAGGGGCTACATTATTTGGGGGTCCTTATAACATTTAGGGTACTAAATTAGGGTCCCCTATTGTCGGAAACTCCCATATGCTGGCTTCTGAACCAGCGAAGTTACTGAGAACTGGCATGCAACTCCAGATGTAAATGCCGAGCATTTGATTGTGTCTTATCGGTCCTGTGGCCCATAAAGTAATCTAGCAACTGAATCTCCAGCTTTGTGGACTAAGTATGTGTAATGTAGTGGCCTAAATCAAATAATAACCAACACTATTCTGGGGTTCCTTATTCACATTATAGTATAATGGGCTCCAAAAGCTTATTCTAATTATTAAGGCCCCTATAGTACTCGTTAAATGCAGGAGGGGGTTGACATCCCGAAGCCCTGGTTAGCGATTTGGGGTGTAGGATTGCCGGTAGTTTATGAGGGTTAGGGAACTTGGGTTTTCGGCTTTGGGTTTGGAGTTTAAGGTTTACGTCTTTACACGCCAAAAAGAGCCACAGA